AAATTTCAAAACTGGAGGCTGCCTGTGTTTGCCAGTCTCAGAATCTGGAAATCCCCATGTGCATAGATTACTTTGGGTTTCACACTATTGGGGGGCGTCTAAGACCAGTTGGCACAGCCAGGAATTTGCTCTGTTTTCAGGGGAAAGCAGAGAACTGGAGAGCTATGCAAATTGCAAGGAATTTACTGGAGGTGCAAGGCGTGCTAGTCTGGGATCCCAGGATCTAGCCATTAATTGAACATCCACATTTCCCCTTTTTCTTCTGGGGCTGTAAGTGACCTCAAAAGTGGGTGGTGACAGCTCTAAGAGCTAAGAACCTGCCCTTTCCTCTGAAAAAAAACAAAAAAGCCCCCCCAGTAAACATCAGAACCCATTCAGCAATGATTTGCTTGCAGTTGATTCTTTCTCAGATTACCAGGCTCCATTCATGACCTGTCAGCTGCTCTCATGCACCTTTGTTAACTTAACCATCAACCACTTAATATCATCTGACTTCCTGTCCCCACTGCCTTTAATTCACTTTATTATGCCATGTTTTTTGAAATATCAAAATGAATGCAATGGTTGTAAAATAATAACACATTTGCTTGGAAGTTATGCTAAGAACTGTTCAGTTCCCCCTTGATTTACAACAGCTTGCAATACTGGGATTCTTTGTCCTGAGTCAAGAGTAGGAGCTTTTATCTCATCTGTCACTCCTTAGTAGTTCAGTCACAGCAGTTGAGTAAGAGACACTCAAAGCTAAGAATCAGTTGCATTGTTCCTAAGGTAAACACTGGAAGGGGAGCTGCTGATGCTTTGTAAACTATCTTAATTTTCATGGTTGGCAACACCCAAACCTGAAAAGGGATTTGTAGAATAAAGTTAGATAATCAAGCACATCATTGATCTAAACCTAATCTGCTGTAACAACCTTTGCTAAGAGGGGTCTTTTCTCTCTGTTCTATAACTCAAAGAAAAGTCTCTGCCAATATCTCAATACTGCCAGAGGCCCCTAGCGCTTTTCTCAAGCTCACTGCAGGTTTGCACAGATCAAATGAAAGCTGTTTACTCATTATTGTTTAAGATTAAGCTCCAGGTAGAGAATTACTCTTGATTTTTTTGGGTTCAGACTGATAATGGGAAAGCAATAAAAGCAGAAAACAAAACAAACCCAGCAGATTCTTGCATTAAGCTAGCTCTGTTATGAAGTTTCTGGGTTGCGTGTCCTGAAAAATGAATGTACTGCATTGTATTTATTAAAGCTAATCAGAGAAACTTAGGAGATACTGTATTGATATGAAATGCCTGCTTAGAGATAATATAATAGTTTGCATTTGATAAATTTGGAAGCTATGTAGTGTAGAATATTAAAGAATGTGGGAAGCCAGTGGGAAGTCTTGTTGTTAACTTAAGTGGAGATGGTTTACAAACTGTAAGAAGCAAAATGCTCTTACAGTGGTTTGACACAAAGTTCTAAGCCTCATCAGCACATATAAGAATGTAACATCAGTGTGTTCAGGAAACGGAACATGGTTTCCTGGATTGTCACTGAAGTGGTTTTTACAGTGGTACCTTGGGTTAAGTACTTAATTCGTTCCAGAGGTCCGTTCTTAACCTGAAACTGTTCTTAACCTGAAGCACCACTTTAGCTAATGGGGCCTCCTGCTGCCGCCACGCTGCCAAAGCACGATTTCTGTTCTCATCTTGAAGCAAAGTTCTTAACCTGAAGCACTATTTCTGGGTTAGCGGAGTCTGTAACCTGAAGCATATGTAACATGAAGCGTATGTAACCCGAGGTATCACTGTAGATAGGATTTAACCGACATGGCTTTCCATCCTGTCTCAGTAAACTAGATTTCCAAGTCAGCCATCCATGTCAGCTTCAGACATTTATTCACATGTGATTGTGTGTGCATGGTGCCAGACAGATATCATTAATGGTCATAGGGCTACAGCTCTTTCCTATCTAGCAACTTAATGCAAATGTCTCCTTCATCCAGTGAATTAAAGAAAATATATAGCAGCATTGGACTCATAACAGACAGGCTCCTAATATACTACTTGTTGCCTTTTGGTTTAGCAATGATCTTCATAACTGCTATCCTGATTTTGAGTGAAACGTGAATCAAAACATGGCCTCAGCTTCCTTTACTTTGAGTATAGCAATGATAGCAATCCACCTATCCTCTTTGTGTGAGAAGACAAGCACTGGTGGAGAGAGCCCTATTCTGGCATGTGGAGCTAGATTTAGGCTCAGGCTCCCTCCCCACTCTATCTCCTACCATTTTCAGTTTTGGAAAAATACTGTGCAGGCAAAGAGAAAGTAGGATGGTGCCAAAGTCCCAGCAGAAAGTGGCATATTTATTCATTTCTTTATACAATTTCTTACCTACCCTTCACAAGTTTAAACCAACAGAATCTACAGTTATAAAAACATAAAACCGTTATAATTATAAAATACATAAAACCATTCCAAATGGAATAGAACAATAGAACAGTTGCTTGGAACTTATGAGAGCCATGGCAAAGCTCACCAGCACTTGGACACATCAGCTGTTGAACTAGTGGACCACTGGGATTCCTCTGATATTTCTGTTAGTATTAGTAGTAATACTTGTTTCCTGTCATGTTTATAAGTAGAATGGATACCTTATTAAGGTGGCTGATAAGCCATATTTTTAATAATGCTCTGTGCTGGACCAGAATTATTCTCTAGTTGTGGAACAATGCCAAACTGACATGTTGTTGTTTAGTCGTGTCCGACTCTTTGTGACCCCATGGACCAGAGCATGCCAGGCACTCCTGTCTTCCACTGCCTCCCGCAATTTGGTTGCTGGTAGCTTCGAGAACACTGTCCAACCGTCTCGTCCTCTGTCGTCCCCTGCTCCTTGTCCCCTCAATCTTTACTGACATCAGGGTCTTTTCCAGGGAGTCTTCTCTTCTCATGAGGTAGCCAAAGTACTGGAGCCTCAGCTTCATGATCTGTCCTTCCAGTGAGCACTCAGGGCTGATTTCCTTCAGAATGGATAGGTTTGATCTTCTTGCAGTCCATGGGACTCTCAAGAGTCTACTCCAGCACCATAATTCAAAAGCATCAATTCTTCGGCAATCAGCCTTCTTTATGGTCCAGCTCTCACTTCCATACATCACTACTGGGAAAACCATAGCTTTAACTATACGGACCTTTGTCGGCAAGGTGATGTCTCTGCTTTTTAAGATACTGTCTAGATTTGTCATCACTTTTCTCCCAAGAAGCAGGCGTCTTTTAATTTTGTGACTGCTGTCACCATCTGCAGCGATCAAGGAACCCAAGAAAGTAAAATCTCTCACTGCCTCCATTTCTTCCCCATCTATTTGCCAGGAGGTGATGGGACCAGTGGCCATGATCTTCGTTTTTTTGATGTTGAGCTTCAGACCATATTTTGCATTCTCCTCTTTCACCTTCTTTAAATGGTTCTTTAATTCCTCCTCACTTTCTGCCATCAAGGTTGTGTCATCTGCATATCTGAGGTTGTTGATATTTCTTCTGGCAATCTTATTTCCGGCTTGGGATTCATCCAGTCCAGCCTTTCGCATAATGAATTCTGCATGTAAGTTAAATAAGCAGGGAGACAATATACAGCCTTGTTGTATTCCTTTCCCAATTTTGAACCAATCAGTTATTCCATATCCAGTTCTAACTGTAGCTTCTTGTCCCACATAGAGATTTCTCAGGAAGACAGGAGACAGATGAGGTGATCAGGCACTCCCATTTACTTAAGAACTTGCCATAGTTTGCTGTGGTCGACACAGTCAAAGGTTTTTCTGGTATAATTCCCCTGTGTACTCTTGCCACCTCTTCTTGATGTCTTCTGCTTCTGTTAGGTCCTTTCCACTTTTGTCCTTTATTATGGTAATCTTTGTATTTTGGAGAAAATTGGAGAAAATCTCTCCAATTTTCTTAAACAGATCTCTGGTTTCCCCCCATTCTGTTGTTTTTCTCTATTTCTTTGCATTGCTTGTTTAAGAAGGCCCTCTTTTCTCTCCTTGCTATTTTTTTGGAAATCTGCATTCAGTTTCCTGTATCTTTCACTATCTCCCTCACATTTTGCTTGCCTTCTTTCCCCTGCTATTTCTAAGGCCTCATTGGACAGCCACTTTGCTTTCTTGCATTTCCTTTTCATTGGGATGGTTTTCGTTGCTGCCTCCTGTATAATGTTACGAGCCTCCATCCATAGTTCTTCAGGCACTCTGTCCACCAAATCTAAATCCTTAAACCTGTTCCTCACTTCCACTGTGTATTCATAAGGGATTAAATTTATATTGTGTCTTACTGTCCCAGTGGTTTTTCCTACTTTCTTCAGTTTAAGCTGGAAGAAGCTGATGATCTGAGCCACAGTCAGCTCCAGGTCTTGTTTTTGCTGACTGTCTAGAGCATCTCCATCTTTGGCTGCAGAGAATATAATCAATCTGACATACTGACCAGTGAATGATTTGGCTAAGAATCCTCAGTCCGTTGGTATCAGGGTCACCATCTTTTATTTAAGAATAAAAATCAACACAAAGCAAGTCTATTAAAAGCAGAGCCTAAGCACTGAATATCAGACCAGGCAACAGCTGTAATTGTCTTCAGAACTGCACAGTATCTGATTTCTTTTTAAAAAACAGGTGACTCTTTCACTCAAAATTAAATTGTTTTTAATGTAGTTTGCTTGAGTTGCTGGCATTTTTATTTATACCTGGGTGTCAAACATACTTAATTTATAGCTGCCTAATTGTTGTTTGGCTGCTTTGTTTATTGGATGATGCTAATACAGTAGCTTAATCAAAATTAAGTGCAAGGATGTCAAGGGTAACATCCAAAAGCGTCCACATCAGTAACCGTCAATCAGCTTAGCAATTTTTAAAGAAGCAAACAACCAGCAGCAATACTGTCTCTCTTCTAGATTCAGGTAGGTAGCTTTGTTGGTCCTATGCAGTATAAATATATATATATATATATATATATATATATATTGACCAGTAGCACCTAAGAGACCAACTAAATTTATTCTTGGTATGAGATTTCGTGTGCATGCACACTTCTTCAGATACCAAGAAGTGTATCTGAAAAAGTGTGCATGCACACGAAAGCTCATACCAAGAACAAATTTAGTTGGTCTCTAAGGTGCTACTGGACATTTATTTTATTTTATATATGTATATGTCTCTATTCTGTTAGGTTTACAACTACTATCCTAGTTACAAAAGTAGAACATGTAAGCTCAAAAATTTTGTTTGAGCTGCAGAGCACAGACACGCACATGTGGTTAGCTTGGAAGCATGATGAAGAAAGAGGAGGCTGCCCAGGCAGGCTGGAAGTAGGTAGAATTACAGCTTCCTTCCAAGGCAGACAAGGGAAGTGATCTTACAGATTTATCTCTAGCAAATTTTACAGGAAAGCTCTGTGAGTCTTAGCCCCTTTATGTACCTATCTGGCAAAACATGAATTGTTGGTTTGACTGCAATAATGTCCCACCAAAGTGGCACTGTTTTTCTGCCTAGCAAGTTATTTACAGTTCCCCCCACCTTTAATATATTTACTGTTCCCTGTTCCCTAAGCAAAATATGTAAACTATCTAAAGGACATGTTCATGTGGAAAAGCAAGGCATGATGACTGAATAAATCTATCTACATTGTCCTCCAAGGCTACAGTTGGCTGCATACTTGAGAGTAAGCGTCATTGAAAGTGGGGCACATTTCTGCATAAGATTTGTTGAGGGAATCCAACACCCTCCAGTCCATGTTCTTGACTACAAGCCTTATGAATAGATACTACTTATGAAAGTGGTGGAAGTTTGGAAGTACTAAGACTGACACAAAGGAACCCTGCTTCAATATATGGATCTTGTGGCGTGAGAATGGCATACCCACCAACTGTCCTGGTTTGAGTGGGACATCATGGATTTACAGAAACTGTCCTGGCTTCTTTTTGAAATCCTGGGTGTCCAACTTTGGCTGCCACCATGAGGCCTCCACAGTGAGGCCTCTGCCTAGGCCCCCTGAGGCCACTGATATTCTTCTGGAAATTGGGCCACACTTCTGGAAGTGTGCTTCTGGAAGCACACCACTGGCTTCCATAAGTACATCAGCGGCCATGACAGGCCTCAGCTGAGGCCTCACAATGGAGGAGGTTTTGCCACAGTGGCAGTGAAGGCAGAGAGCACACCTGCTGCAGGTGGCAGCAGTAGCAATGGGCTGAGATGACGTGAGCAGGTGGGGAGGACGAGCAGGGTGTGGTGGTGGTAGTGTTGGACCAAGGTGGTTTGAGTGGGTGGCAGCATGGTGGGGAGTAGTATCCCAGATTTTTGTTAGAAAAAGTTGGGGGAATGGAATGGTGATAATGGGGATACCATACTTTTCTGTGTATAAGATGACTTTTTTTTAATTAAAAGAAGGAGGAGAAGCCTTGTCTAATACATGGATAGTTCATAGGTGTGACACGGGATTGGTTGCTGCCGTGAGCTGTAGATTGTCAGTGGCTATTGGGCATGTTATTGGTGTCTGCAGCAAGGGCTGTTGTTGATTGGCTGTTGCTGTGGCAATTGGGCGGGCGATTGCCGGCTTTTGCCTGCGAGGGGACAGATGATAGGTAGCTTTAGCGATGCGTGTGAGTGAGTGGCAGCATAGGTCAGGCTTGTGAGCGATTTTCAGCAATCTCTCCTAAAAATAGCTCAGCAACTCTGGGCAATCCTTCCCCAAGGAAGCTCAACAACTCTGGGCAATCTCCCCCCATTTTCTTAATTTTGAGTCCCCCAAAATAGGGGGTGTCTTATACAGGGGGGCGTGTTATACAGAGAAAAATACAGTATCTCAAGGAATCCAGATAACCTTTAAGAAAGGAATGGCTTATGCCGTTTGAAGGTAGGATTACTTTCAATAACTTACACAGGGTATGTGGGGGGGAAACATACATACTTTCTTATGCATCGTGTGATGTTTAAATGCATGTGCCAAATTACTATGGAATGTTTGCATGTTAGTGGCACACCTGTCCAGGCAACTGATTGGTGCAAATGGACCACTGCATATGGTAAGTGTCCTTAAACATGACTGGGTGTTGGAAGCATACTTATGTGAGAACAATAAGCACATTGTTTCTCCATGTCCTGTGACCTTTAACCTAAGATACCAAGGAGGACGTGACTCTTCCTATACTAGCTGAGAAGCAGAGAGAATTTTTAGCAGATGCAGCTTGCCCTGCAAGTGTGAGAAGGACTGCACTTCCTTAAATTACCAGGCCAAAATAACAATGCCGATCCAGGAACCCAATTTCCCCTTTGATATTCTAATCCTATTTGTGAGTAGGAAGATTGAGTCTTTTCGTTGCTGTTGCAAGAATACATAAAAGAAGTTAGGGGAAGCTTTGAGATTTACAATTGCTGAAGTAAGTTTCAAAGTAAGTGATGTTGGAACATTAAGGAACTTAAAAAGCTGAAATGAAATTTTTTGCTGTTGTTAATTTTGTTTAACGTTACTAGGTCTAACCAGAACCTGGAGTCTGAAAGTCAATATAGAACACAGAAATTACCCTTTTCTGAATCTGTTAGGAGATGGAAGTATTGGAGTATATCTCCGTAATATGGGTTTTTATACTTAATCAATATTGCCTGGAACCCAGCCACTGATGTTATATTGGCAGAAACGTTACTTAAATTACCAAGGATTTTTTTATTTATTTAGCAAAGTATCTTTCTGATGTTTTGCCAAACCATTAAGACTTTTCTTCATTAGAAAGATTTTGGCTTATTTCCCTCTAGTTGCTCTAGGCAGCCGTTATTTTGGCCATAATAACTGACTGGTTTAATACAACTGGGAAGATCAAATGCTTTTTCCTTCCTTTTTCTAGAGGTGGGTTAAAAATACTTGTGGCGTGTGATGTGTGTGTATTTGTGTGTTCCTGTTTGGCTCTCAATCTGTGCTTAAATTCAACAATATAAAAAGACTTTGGTCTTCTGCTCTTTGTGCAGAAAGAACAGACAACTCCTGTGCAGCTGGGTCTAGTGGGATGAAGAAACAGTCATGTTTTCTTTTCTTTTCTTTGTTTAACTCTGGAGATTTTTGAAAGAATTTAATTCAAAGAGAAGAGCGATCGGGAATGTGTATACTACAAGTTTAAAGAGCTTCAAGCCAATCTGTTTGTCATGGAGCCCATCTTGTTATTCCCAATGTTCAGGCTGCGAGTGCCTTTGCATTTTTGTAGCTAAAACAGTAACACAACACATCCATAAGAGGTGTCAGCAGGCTAGAGGGAACCCCAGAGTTTCCAGAAATATAATAATAACAATATTTTTAAAATGCTGAACTTATTGGCTGCGCAATAGCAATTGCTCTTTAAGCAGAAACCCATCAAAAGGAACCCGCTCCCAAAGGAGGACTGAGTTTGTTTAGTGGCCATTGAATGCTGAGTCGGGGTGGGGGCACTGGTGGAGGAAGAGGAGTGCAGGGGGAGCACACCGCCCCCAGCAACGTGATCCTGGTGGGGTGCCATTGGGGCTGCCCCCCATCCGTGCTGGGCACCACGCCCCCGCAGGCACCGTGCCATGCCCCCAGGACGTGCGCCACCCCCCCGGGATGCGCACCAGCCCCGCCCCCACCTGCTTTCTGCCCCCCAGTGCCAGAGCATGAAGCTCCACCAGTGGGTGGGGGAATAGTAAATGGACTGCAGGGGAAAGGGGGTGAAATGGTGCCATTGGAATACTAAACAGCAGCATTTCATACTGCAACATGTTGTTGCAGGTCCCATTTGTGTATCTAAAAAGATAAATCAATACTTACAGAGATAAATTTCAGAGTTGAAAAGTTTATTTCATAACAGAAGCGCATAGGATGCTGCCTTATGGTCAGAGTTGTGCAAAATAGTATTAAGTAAAATGTTGATTCACTCTACTCCTGAGTAATTTGTAGAATGCTACTGGCACAAGTTGTCAGCTCGCATTTCCCACCTATCTGATCCAGATTTACAATTTCTGAATTCTCAAAATCCAGTAGTGGTGGTGGCCAGTGGGTTCAACTTCATTTTGCTGAATATCCTGCAGAATATGAAAAGCTGCTGTAGATCTAAGCAGAAAAAGTAAGTTCAGATGAGCAAGCAATTTAGGCAGGGCACTGATACTGTGGAGGTGGAATGGTTAGCTAATAGAACATCTGTGTTTACCTTCTGTTAATATACAGACTTCAGAGAAAATGGGTGAGAAAGGCAATGCAAATACCGCAGGATTGTGTCAGGCAGTGATCCTATACCCACTGACCTGCAAGTAAGTGCTTTGAAACTTAATGGGACTTACTTCTGAGTAGAAATATATGAGACAGTACATTGAGTTGCTTTTGTGATCCAAGCAGGCTGTGGCTACTGATAATGAGGGTTCTTACGACCACAGAAGTGGATTTCTGATCAACATATCCTTGGTGAACAGGTGTGCTTCTGAGATAGTAACAGACAAAAAACTAGGTCTCATATATTTCAGGATGACACAAGAAGAAATTGAACTGGCCTTCAATGCTGCTGTAGATAGCACTGCAATAGGTGATACTGGGAACTTTTGAGAAGGAAGTGGGTGGATTTTTATTCTTTCTCGTGAGCTGAAATCTTCTCTGACTTGCCCACTACTGCAAAGTTTGAGATTAAAAGCTGCCATCTCTGAGCTGAATCTTCCTTGAAAGAAACTTATTTCCTGTAACTAAATTTAAAACATGGTGAAAGGTGTGTGTCTGATAGACACTGCAGACTGATGGCTTCTGTTATTTTGTGGAGTAGCTCTAGCATGACTGGATGCAAGTGCCAGATTTTCCTACCATGCACTTCAATCTTGGGTTTTCTCACTGTCCTCATTCAGTTTTGCACTATTGCAATTATAAAAGACAAAAGCAGCCCAGCCTTCATGGGGGTCTAGCTGATTCCTCATAACTAACTGTAGGCAAAAGCAGGGGTGCCATAAATAAAGGTTTTTATGATACGGGGCAAATTGCCAGGTATGCTAGCATCCAAACCTATCCTCTATGTCATTATAGTCTGGGAACTGCAGCATTTGTTCAGTTGACTACCACACAGACAGATCAGAATGCCTTAATTTTGCTATAAGCTCAGTAAGAGCTAATGGTAAGCGATCAATTATGCTT